GGTTGGAGAATCCAAAAAATATGAATCAACAACTTCATGGTAAAACGGCGCCCGCCTTGTGGAATTGTCATCTTTTGTACTTTTACACTTTTTAAGTGCACCTTTGGTTTTTACCGGTTGTAAAGTAGGTTTCATATCAATGGTTTCTGGATAGGCGGTTTTTCTCAGTTGTTCATCTGAAAAATTAGCATCAATATAAGGAATTGAGATATGAAATGAGGAATATTTACCTTAAGTTACAGCTTTCTATGCTCTTTTTGACATGATAAAACACTTGAAACTTCTTTTAGAGACGAAAAATTGATTGAGTTTTTGGTGAGAGTTTTGGTTGTGAGAAGAACTTGAATACAATGTATAGTTCATGCAGCGAGGTGGTATAACTAGCATATTTTCGGAAATACATCTCCGGAAATATACCTTAATGTTTAAATGTAACGTTTAACTAGAAATAGGATATTTTCGGGAGTGCATTTTCGAATTCACTCTAAAACTTGATATTAGGTGCTTTCAAAGATGCATCTTCAAAACACCTTGACTTGGAGTGTGTTCTAAGATACATTTTCGAAAAATATTTTCGAATTTTCATAAATTTTTTTCCCACCTCATAAAAATCTAAAAAAAAAAAAAATTCCAATTTGTATATGTTATTTGTATAAATATTTTCAATACGAGGATCAATTATAATCTATTTTACTTTGGGTTCCATACATTTGAGTTTTTGGTTCCGTAATAAAAAAACTATAGAAATCTACTTCATACTCTCAAATTGAATTTGGCACCTATAATTTTTCATAATGACAAATTTATCTTTCATATTATTTATTATTTAAATTTTCACATTATGTAAAAAAATTCTAGATAACACTTTGAAAGATGCCAAAATTTGATAGTTGTTTTAAAAAGATCAGTACAAAAAAATTTGTAAAGCATTTTTATCGAAGATTTAAAAATCTGGTATGAGGTTCCCTTGAAGTTTTACTAGATTTTTGACAAATATTCGAAAATATTATGCAATTTTACCAGTTTTTTGAAAAATCCAGAAATTCCTTCAATTTTTATCGGATATTTGTGAAAAACCCAGAAATTCCTTTAACTTTTACCAGATTTTTGCGAAACATCCGAATATTTTGTAGTTTTATCAATTTTTTAGAAAAGTCTGGAATCTACAAAGTAGCTAATGTTGCTATTACTGGATTTTTCAAAAAATCTGAAAAACGTTGTGCTATACTAGAATTTTTGAAAAGTCTGGTATTCCTAATTTTTTGCATATACTTAGAAATTTGGTAGCTCAGTATGATTCAATTGTGCGATCGTGATTCTGACGATTCTCATGTAGATTTTACTCAGTTTTCACCACTGATGCGGTATGTTTTACATAGATGTTTATTTTTCACATAGTTGTATGGTCCTAATTTATTTTGTATATGTTGTAAATCTCAGATATTTCCCTCTCAGGTTGACGTTTTGGCATGGACGCAGACTGTTGGTAAACAACATGGTGTTATTGTTATTACTATTCATTCTGATAGCGCAAACGGGATAAGAGGGAAGAAATATAAATTGATTATGGATTGTGAGAGATGAGGAAGTTACAAGAAGAAGATAGTGATTGTAGGGAATTATACCATGAAAGTAAAATGACCATTTATGATGAGATATGTGCTAAATAGAAGCGTTTGGAAGGTTATGGTTAGGTGTGGGTTTCACAATCATATGTTATCTAAGGAGTTAAATGGGAATGATGTATTAGATTGTTTAAAAGATCGTGAAAGAAAGTTTGTGAATGACATGACCAAATACAATATGACTCTCAGATACATAATTGCTACTTTGAAAGATAGAGATCCAGAAAATCTAACGAGTGTTACTCATGTCTACAAGGTTGGGTCTACATACAATGCGAGCAAGAGAGCTTCATTAACTGAAATGCAACATCTGTCGAGTCTTATTCTTGAAGATAAATACATGTATTGGACAAGAAGCAGAGACTCTTTCAATGTTATTACTGGTATCTTTTGGACGCGCCCTAATTTAGTGAAGTCGTTGAACATGTTTCATTTTGTGTTGATTTTTGATTGCACATACAAAACAACAAGTACTTATTATGTCAAATGCTTCCATTTGAATTCATTTGTTTCGGAAGTTGTTCAGGGTTGTTGATGATTTAATGTACGTATAAAACAAACAAGTATCGGCTACCACTACTTGAGATTATTGGTGTTACATCTATGAAGTTGACATTTTCGGTTGGTTTTGCATATCTGAAACATGAAAAGGAGGAAAATTTCATGTGGGCACTAGAAAAGCTAAAAGAGTTGTTCGCTTTTGAGAAGTTGCTACCAAACATTTATGTTACTGACCGTGAACTGGCGTTGATGAATACCATGAAAGTTTTGTTTTCAAACTCAACTCATTTGTTATATCGGTTTCATATTTCAAAAAAAAAATTTAATATAAAGTGTAAGGAGTATGTCGAATCACATAGACATGAGCATGTTATGAATATGTGGAACAACATCATGTATGAATACTGAGACTAGGTTTTTTGTACACCTTAAAGCATTTTGAAGTTGTATTTGCTGATATTCCCATATTTGTTCAACATGTGCGCGAAACTTAGTTGACACCCTATAAACAAAGATTTATTACTCCTTGACTGATAAAGTCACTCATATAGGGAACACAACAACCAACAGGTACATCGATGTGAATATAAATATAGTTACAGTACTAGTTATCAAATAATGACATTTTGTTCTGTTTATATTTTTTAGGATTGAGTCTGCTCACTAGATGCTGACAAGTAGCGGGGGAGATTTATGTAGAAGTTGTGTTGAAGTTACAATTAGGTTCAATTAGAATGTCATTTCAAAAAAGTGTATGCAACATTGAGCATCGGTGTAACACTCCATTTTACTTCTGATTGCACGAATTTGTTTCAAGATAATATATACAACACATTTGAAAGGAAATGGAAAAGATAAAATTTGTTGGTTGTGACAAAACAACATGCAGTTGCTTCATTAGAACAACACGTGAATTACCTTGTACGTTTAAACTTGTAGGTTATCAAATACAAGGAGAGCATATTCTGTTAGATTTGATACATGTATTTTGAAAGAAATTATTCGTTGAAGAACGTGAGGTCACTGAAGAAGAAAGTGAAACATCGTTGGATTTAGAAGAAGAGTGTGAAGAGTTGAAGAAGAATTTCGGTACACTAGATATTGTAGGCCAGAGGGCGACGAATAAAAAGTTCAGGAACTAAGACTTTCATCCACAACTTCCATGTGTCCACCACCAGTGAAGTACAAGCCAAAGAAAGGAGCTAAGAAGAGTAAAAAGGATGACAAGAGTGATGTGCATCGTGATCCTTCACATTGAGAGTATGTTGAAGGCTCGCATGGAAGTTAGAGTACAAAGAGATTGTATAAAACCAACTGAAAGTCAATCGCGTAACTTGTCTTCAAAACTAAAATATTTGTCTCAATTTCCTGTTTTCTTACATCAGTACATTGATGACATTGTTGACGTGGATGGCGATGGAAATTGTGATTTTCGGGGTATTGCAGCTTTACTTGGACGAACGAAGAGTCTTGGTCGTTGAAATACTGAAGTTAATCAACCTCATCAACTGTATTCCAATTTTTTCTATGACACTTATCGAAAGTTAGGAGTGTGTTGCGGATTGATGACTTTGGTGTGCAGAATCATGATATGTAGATGATGATTCTTGATATGTGTTACCCTAATACTTCTAAATACATTATTATATTAATCTCGTTGTCTAGAAACCTTAACATCACATTCTTTACATTAGTGATGGCTTCATGCATAACGTCAAGTAGACACAAAATGATTACAGTTATTTTTGTTAACAACGATCGTTGGATTCGAACGAAGTTGAAACCCAATTATCTTTTGCCTTCTGTCACAGATCGATGAAACAGAACTGTGGTGAAGTTGCAATAGAATGAAAATCAACATATGCACAACATATTAATAATGGAAAGAAATAACTAAGAAATCGAGATAATTTGTTTTGTAATGATTTTGTAACACTTGTATTATATGTATATGATTTATCCACCATACTTTGTTAAAAATGTCAACAAAAATCTGTCTACCAAACTTTTCAAAATTACTAGATTTTTTAAAATATGTACCCAGATTTTACCAAACAAATTACCAGATTTTTAAAATATGTACCCAGATTTTACCAAACAAATTACCAGATTTTTAAAATATGTACCCAGATTTTTCCAAATATGCAGTACGTTCTTTTTGAAATTTTCATAACTTCTTAAGAAAACATTTGAATTTTATCTGCAATTTTTAAAATGTCAGGTATTTCTACATAATTTTGCAAAATATCGGGTAAATTTGCAAAAAAAAAAGTGTAATTCTACATTCAAACAAGAAAAACTCGAGTAATTCTACATTCAAACGAAAAAAAATTTATGAAATATCCAATACATGCAAAGAAATATCCGGCATTTACCAAAACTTTTAAAAACAGGTAATCTTTGACAAGGGCAAAAATGTAATCACAACCCCCTTTGGGGGTGCCAGGTCAATTTAGGGAGTGGTAGGAAGATTTCTCAAAAAACTCAATACTCGCTGCAGGGAAAACTGATAGAGAATTGTCCATTTGATTTGAAACCCTCTCCAGTTTTTCAAAATCCCATGCATACATTGAAAATGATAATAAAAAAAATCAGAAAATAATAAAATTTTGTTAAACAATCTAACGGTGAGATTTATAACTACACAGAATGCAGTTAATAATCAACTCCCTGATAGCATGAATCCCATTTCAATAGCCTAGTTGATTGTGTTCATGTAAGAAGCCACGCCAACAAGGATATACAGAGCACTAACCAAAATAATGCAAAATCTAAAACTAGACTAACTGTTCATCTGTTGAATGTAACTCCGATCGCCCTTAATGAGGACATCACAAAAAAGTTGTACAAATGCAGGTCTAGAATAAACCAAAATCAGCTTTCAATCATTGGTTCAGGATCAGAGGTTTCTGTACAAGACTTGTTTGCTTGATGAACAGAGTTGAACAGAGTGTCCTTTATTACCTGCGTCAAACAAATTCACAATTGTTTAGCTGACTAGAAATATTTTTTACTAATTATTCTTTTTCTGAGGAGGATTGTGTTGGCAATCACCTGTGACATTAAACCATGCACTTGCTCCACCGTTATCTTCGCACTATCCCGAGTGATCTTAGCGAGTGGGGATTCTTCCTGTAAATCAGTTGAACTTTGATGTCAGGCGGAAAAATTGAGGAGTGATGAACGAAGATAATGTTGACATCAATATTGTGTCATACTCAGAAAGTTAATAATGACAGAATAACATCAGATAGGTAACAGTTTAATATTCATTTTGCATGGTTTGAGATCGATTCTATGTCAAGGGAATAGTATAGTATCCATCATCATAGAAGGATGAAATCCACCAAAATTTTAAGAACATTTCAGAAGATTTGTTCTAGAATAAGAAACATTTATCTATACTAGTCCATAATGGAAAGTGATATACACAATAGTATCGTGAGCATAAACTAATCAAACATCAAAAGATATGGTCAGTGCACATAAACGGGCTCTTTCTTTTATGAAACTTATACAAAAGAATAAGACTATGAAACAAATAAGATGCTGAGAGATGAATGCATGAGTATGCATAGCATACTAATAGAGAAGGTTTTTGAATTAGACAAATAAACTGATCAAGTAAATCTAAGATGCAGTGAGGAGAGCAACATTACAAATTAAAGCAGCAGAACTTTAGAGAGAAAACCGATCAGGCAATGTAAACGATTAAATGTGTCTCCGACCTTCATCATTGGACGCGCCATGACTCAGGGTCACAGATAATACAGTGTCATTCAGAAAGCAGGGAACAATATAAGCAGTATTTCTGAGTATTGTTTAAAGTATTCGAGGGAGAAGTGAAAATTAGAACTGTTACAAATTTTAAATTTGTCCTAAATTATGGACCATGAGATGGAACATAAACAACAAAACAGAATATTCTCTTCAAAACAAAAACACAAAAATGGAAAGATAAAAAAATCCTTAGGTGCAGAAGCAACAGTTATTCCTACACCTACAATCCCAAACATCTATGCGTATAACATCCAGGTCCTAATCTTGTGCTGTCAGAACTGATTGATGAAAGACAACAGGCACACAATTTTAGGTCATTGGATGATCAATTGCCAAAAATGATTTGAATAAATTTGATTTTGTAAATTGATTAGATTAAAATTTAGTTTGAAATGAAGTAATTTATGTCTGGATGTTTTTACTTTTAATTTATATTTAATGGAAAAATCTACTTGCTATGAATCTTTAGTCAAACAAAGGCTCAAATGAAAAATTAATCTTGGTTCAAAGAAATAAAATATTTATATTTTTCCCAAAAACCGCCTTAGAAGGGATTGAAGCTAATTTTTAAGGGTTTGAATGTAAATCCAAGCATGCTATATACTGGCTGAGTTGGCAAATGTCCAACATCCAGTTGGAGCACTCACGAATCTGCAACTAGTTGCACACATATATATCACTTTTAAACTCCATTACCCCATAAGAAATGTAAAATGAATTCATTTCTGTTTGGAAACAAGGTGATTCTAGATGCTCTACACTATTGGTATGTGAGCTACCAAACCCAGAGAAACCTGATATGTTATGCTCTTCTTCAAGTGAAAACTACAAAGAACTACTTAGTGATTACTAATTGATGTACATTGTAAAATGAGGTTCCGAAATATTGATGCAGGGTAAATTCAACGTATCCTTTCACACTCCTAGTATTGTTAAATATTAGCCATGGCGGCGGGCAGTTTTGGCTCTCCGCCATGGCAAAATTTGTGGACGACGGTGCCATATGCCGATATGGCAGCACCATATGTTGGGCTTTATGTCAGATTTTTGGCTCTTAGCATCAACAACAGTGCACACTCGTCGCAGTAAGAATGTATAATGTGGTGCACTGATCATATACACTCATGGCTGACTCATAGAAACGGGCTCAAAACTTCATCAATAATAACAAAAAGAAGAAACATGCTCAAATACTATAGTAACAAAACATCCAGAAAGGTTTTGATCATAAAAAACTATTGCCATCCTAGACTTCAAATGAACAAGTGAAACACTTGAATAATCAAGCTGAAACTCTGAATACAGAAATTCCAATAATTAGACAAAGTGCATTGCAGTAGATTTAAGGAAGAAACAATCACTCACTTCTTTCTTTCTAGGTGAAGGTGCTACTAGTGGCCCGAAACGTGAGTGTGCCAATTGATTCTCTGCTTGTTCTAGCTTTTCAGCTGCAACAAAAGATATCCCGATTAAGATATTCATAATTACAGATTATAATTACACAATAAAACTAAAGAATGGCACTGAAAAGTACCTAAATCTGAGATTTGTCCAGCTACATAGTCTCCATTGCCCAATAAAGGAGAAGATGACAGTGTATTCACCCAATATTTGTTCCACAGGAGATCCAAAAGGTGTGAATCAAGACTAGACTTAAAGTAAGTGATATCCAAAGAATAATACTGAAAAAAACACAGAAATGTAGTTGAAACAAAAACACAACAAAAAAGGGTTTAGGGTTTAGGGTTAAAAATGGGAGCAAAGTCAGAAAAGAGAAACCTGTTTACAATGGACACCAAAATCCTCAATCTTATTAAGCGGTATAGTTTGATACTCCGAAATAGGATCATCCGCAGGCTTAAAACCTTCCGGGTAAGTCCTGAAAGCCCCAATCTCAACTTTCCCAGCAGAAACAGTCCTCGTCGGATCAATCACAACCGCCAAAAACGGCTCCTGAAATTGCTGATTCAACATCTGCGTCGAAACATCAATCCCAGAAAGCCAACATCCATAGCCAGGATGAGAATGATACCACCCCACAACATTCTCCAACCTCCCAGCCTACACACACACATAGACAAATAAATAAATATCAACTAATTAGGGCAAATTCAAAACTATAATCATGGTTAGGGTTAGTGTTTAAGTAAAATTCATAAGATGTAATTAGGGGTAGGGTTAGGGTTCCGATGAACCTGTTTATTGGTCTGAGAATAATCAACCATGTATTCATACGCATCAGCTTGAGCATTGACACGAGTTTCAGTACCTTCAACCGGCAACGCGAAAGCATCCATTACGATGATCGAATCAGCATCAGTTTTACCTTGCATGAGACCCATAACCTCGATAGTACCACCGGAGCGCGCGTGAACAACCATCTTCAGTAGCGCGAGTGCAGAGATCTTGACGCGCTTGAAGTAGTGAGGGTCGTTTGCCCAGGGTTTATCACGCTGAAACTCGCTCTGTCCCGCTTCGTCGTAGTGGAAAATCGAATCGTCGGCAGCGGGAGTTTCCATGGGGATTATGTTGTTTTCTAACTCCCATGTTTGTTGTGCGATCGCCGATGACGAAGATGGTTCCATTTTGGGTTCTCTCCGCCGTTATCTCCGCCGTTAATTCTTTATCGCCGGTGAGTGAGGGGAACTGGGAAGGTCGCAACTACAGAGCGAAAGACTACTCAAGTTACGGTCAGTCTAGGGGAGACAGTGAAATAAAATTTTTACTCTCACGTTGTTCATATATAGGTTTTTGCTATTTTATAATAATTTTTAAATTTGAAAAATAATTCACAAGTTCACTTGTTTTAATAATGTCTACAATTTTTTATTATGAATATACTAATAGCAATGTTATTAAATTTGGGAAAACATTTTATTTACTATTTTTAATTTCTAAAGATTAGAAGTAGCGGTTTTGAAAACTAAATCAATCTAATAGAAAATTGTAAATTAAATCAGACTAAATCGAAATTATAAAAAAAATCGTATTTGATTCGGATGTGTTTGAGTCATCTTTTAGTAAAACCGTACGGTTTGATTTGCTTTGCAGATTGTATTTTGTAAATCGAACCAACCGAATCAAACTATATTATGTTAAAACTTAAATTTCACTTAACTCATATTTAACCTAAATTTAACCTAGTATACCTTAGTCTTATGGTTACAAACTATTTTCTCATCCTTACACATATGGTTTCAGTCTCGATCTTCTCAAATCTCTTATAGCATTATCGGGTCTTCTTCGCCACATACATCTTGCCTCTTCTTCTTTAATCTCTATTTTCTTATATTCTTTATTTTTCACCTTCTCATTTATATACAAATGTTCTCTCTTTCAATTTCGTTTTTATCGCACATCTTCTTCTCTAATCTCTCATCTCTTATGTTTTTTTCTTTTCCATCTTCACTAATCTCTCATCTCTTCTATATTTTTTTCATTATAATATTTTGGCTTAAATAGTTTTTTTGTCCCTGTAATTTAGCGTGTTTTTGGTTTTTTTGTCCAAGTCCCCATATGTCCAATTCTTGTTGGATAAAGTACTTGTTGTCAATGAAACATTAAAAAAAGGGTGAGTTGGCGGATGGTGATGACATGGATAATGTTTTGTCATTTTTTATTTTCTTTTTATTAACACATGTGTAATTGTCCTTTTTATCGCTTATTAAATAGGGACTAAATAAAAAATGACATTTTCGTATTCTTCTCCTTTACGTTGTTCTTCTTCTCCAAACTCTCTTCTGTCATTCATCCATGGTTTCTTCTTCGTCTGCCAACTCACATCATATTTAAGCACCTTGTAATAAGGTGGGAGAAATCACTTTGGTGTTTTACATTTGATTGCAATTGTTGCGGATAGCAAGAGTCGCCATCGAATTTTCTTTTATCCAATAAGGAAAGGGTGAAAAGAACAGGAAAGACCTTTGAGATATTTTCTTAAGTTCGGGGGGTAGATTATGAAAAGGGAATGTGTTAGCACTCTTTTCATCCGTAGTTATCTACGGGCTCTTAGTTTCTTGCTAGATCATTTAAAAATTGCTTTGTTTGAAAATGTGTTTGTGATTGGTGCAAGTTTGAAAATATTTTGAAAACGCCTTTGTTTCGGAAAACTTTATAATGATTCTCGCCTCTATAAGAATGTATACAAAGTGTTGGTTTTGAAAATAGTTTAAAGAGATGTTTGTTTTTGAGGATGTTTTGAAAGTGAAAGTGTGGAAATAGTTTTAATTTATGAGCAAGCAACTACAAGCGTCCTACCTACTCAAAAGGTATTTGTTATTTTCCTCCTCCTTTAGATGTTGCTATCTTGCCATTGATTTGGTAAGAAGCTCCATCATTGGATGTGAAGGGACAAGCGTAGGTCAATCGTACAGTCATCGAAGGTAACTTGTGAGACGCTTTAGCAATTTTTCGTAAGGGACTAGATCGTTTACTGAAGGCAACATCGAGGGACATCGAGGGACTACGATCTTTTTTATTGAAGGTTCTTTGCTAAAGCGTCCCATATTTGAGGGACATGACTGTTTTTTTTAGGCAACAAGTGATATTATCCTAGAGGTGCGCGTGTGCGAAGTGATTTGTTTTCAATTGATTTTATCTTTTATTAGGGTTGTCTAGCGGTTGATTTTAAATCTTGCCATACACGCCTAATTACTATACAGTATAAAGAACAAATAGTAAAATATGGAAATTAAAATTCTACGCTATTACAGAGCTTTCGGGAATGAGGGTACAAATTTACAAATGGGGATGGATCAATGAGATTAAAAGTCCAAATAGACAATCGATACAACCAAATCGAATCGAACAATTAATTAAAATACAACAATCTATGAAGTAAAAATTAATTAACAAAGAATAAGAATAAAATTCTTAGTATTTTTGTTTGTGAGAAATTTGGAAAGAATCTATTCTATTATTTTTATTTGAATTTAATTATGTAGAAACTAAACAAACAATTTAAGACTAAAGAAAAAGTTAATTAATAAAACTATTTGCAAAAAGAATCCCTAACTATATTAATTAAGAAAATAAACTAAATAATATTTTGTTATCAAGCATTTAATAAAAATGGGAAATAAGACTAAAAAAATTAAGAAAAAAACCTAAGAAAAAAAAGGGCTCGGCAAAGAGTTGAACTCAGGTCTCCTTGGTTATTAGCGGTATGCTTTGCCAACTAAGCTATATTTTCTATCTGTTAGAACTAAGTCTTGATTAAAATAAAATAAGTTTGAGTTAAAAGGGGATAAAAGCAAAATAATGATAAAACGTCCCCAATGGGTCTCGAACCCGGGACCTCACACATACAGAACTAACATGCTAACCACTACGTCAAAGTTGTTCATTCATTATATTCTTTTAATCCAAATCATAAAAACATAAAACTTGGGAAATGGGTTGGCTAGGCCCAAATCCAGATTTGGTCCGCTGACTAAGAGAGGAAGTGGAAAAGGTTTCAAAACCCTAATAGTATGAAAGGGGGCGTCGGGTTGACCTTGGAGAGGGGAAAAGTCCAAATTAAATCAATTTTTGTTGTGAATTCCCAATACAGATAATAATTATCCTCATCCCTTAACCTCACACATCTTCCATCTCTCTTCTTAGTTCCTCTACCAATTCGCCTTTCATCAATTAACCAGACTCATTCTCTCTCTTAAACGTTCTCTGCATGCTATGAATCAGTAACAACAAATTTTCTGTGCCATTATCATCTCAATCAAAACTCTCTCTAAAATCATCATCTTCCTCGAACTCTAACATCACGACGATCAACAGTGCAGAGCAGAGGCCAAACCACCCTCTGTTCTCCATCTCTCTCTACTGAAACCGAACAACAACAACGGTTTAAACTCTCTTCTTAGTTCTACTTCTGATTCATTGGTCTCGCTATTACTACCATCTCGGTTTTGGTCTAGTTTCATAACAGGTATGGTTTATGGCTCTATTTTACTTTTATAATAACGAAAATGCTCTCAAGATTGGTTTTAAAAAAACAACCTACTTCATCTCTCAAACAGGTTCTCAACATGTTATCATAAATTCAACGACAAATATAAAAAAAAGGCATGGCAAACAAACCAAAAAAAAACATTGATCCCGCAAACAGTAATGATAAGTTAACGCGATGGTGCAAAGAAATATTAAAGGAGTGATTCACTTACATGGTCATAGGAATTCCAACGAACTTCTAATTTCGATGAAGCCAGGACCTCTGGTATGCTTCAATCCTCTTCTTCCTTTTTCCTTTCTCTATTATGTGTTTTTTGCTGCTTTTCCTGTGTGAAAATTCGGAGAGCATTGTAGTTATTATGAGTAGAGAAACATGTGAGGTTATGTGAGTGATGGCTGAGGCAGTATGGAGACTGGGGTGAGCGGATAAAATTTTATTACAGTCACAATTAATGTGTTGAAGCTGTGGGGATTTGAGTTAAGGTTTGCATTGAATGTATGAAGGAAGGTTCAATTTAGGTGTTATGGCTGGTTGATTTATGTGGGGGGAATGGAATGAATGTTTTTGAGATATTTTAATGGTGTGGAGGTTGAAGGTATTTTAACAGAGGTTTTTCTTTTGGAATGAATCCTCCCTTCCTTTATACTATTTATGTAACTTCTTATATAGACATAAAGATTAGAATTTAGAGGGTAAATGATGTATTGTTTTCCTACTTGCCATTCTTCTGATGTACTGTTTTTTTACTTTTGTTGATGCAGAATTGTTTGACTGTTTTGAGCATATTTTGGACAGGGTGATTTGGCATTTGTGGACTAGTATAGCAGATGATGCAGGGCTGCGTAGGGGGTTTACGGGAAGTAGCAATAAGAGTTATTTGTGCAGATTTTTGGACTCTTTTGCAGGGTAGCATTGCAGGCTTTACAGACAGACTTGAGCATGGCAGTAATAACATGTTTCTTTGGACTGGTGTGAACTGTTATGATAGGCTTAACAGTTTTTTTGGAGTGTAGCATTTGGATTGGTATAGCAGGTTTTTGTGGGCAGCAAGATAGCTGGTTTTTGTTGGCATAGCAGACTGTTTTGACAGCAGTATAGCAGTAACATAGGTTGATCTTGGCTAGGCATGGTAGGATTTGTATTGAACTGATTTTGGACTGTTTTGTTTGGCTAGGTGATATCTTTTCAAGCCTATTCTTTTTCTCTTTTATCTTTCTATGACATAAATCAAATTCTGCTTTCTAAAATTTCTGAAGGGTTTGACAGTTTATGAGATGATGACATATTTGAGATTTTGGCTATTTGTTAGCCTGTTGTATTTAAATTGTTGTTGCCTTGTTTGTTTTTGCTTGTTGAACTATTGACTTGCAGCCGCTACTGGTTGTTGTTGTTGTTACACGTTTTTGCACTGCTTGTTGTTTTGTGTTGTTTTGAGTTTTGCCTTTGCTATTTGTTCTATTGTTTTTGTGCTGCCTTGGGTTGTGCTGCTACCTGTTGTTTTTACTAGTTTTGTAGCAAAATTATTTGTAAATTTCTTTTCCTTTTGTAAACCAAAACCAAACTTTTGTGATTTACAAAATAGGAAAAGAAAGTCCATGAATGAAAACAAACCCTTTGAACTTCTGATCCCGAACA